TGCAGTGTCCCCTAGACTTCTCGGGAAAGGCAGCACTGAAACTGCAGTTACCCTGACCACTGGCCGTTCTTCCAGTAAGACTTCCTGTTTCTCTGACAAGGAACCCCATCACCCTGGCTGGTTCCCGGCACAGGAGGTACCCCAAGATCCTGGGCTAACTTAGCTCCTTTAGGGAACTAGGGAACGGTGTTCTCAGAGAGGCACTTACTGGTAAGCTGTGCTTGAGGACCTCTCAAACATTAGCACCCTCTAGAATTAAGATGTGATCTGGGCTTGCTTTACAAAGGTCCTGGGTGTGGGAGGGGTCGGTGGAAGGAGGAGAGAAAGAAATCAGCTCTGAATCTGATCATTGTTAAATGTGGTAATGAATTCATGGTGGTTTTTGTTTGTTTCTGTTGTTTTTACGATTTTTGTCAGATTTTCCACGTTTGGAGTTGTTCACACAATTTTTGAGATGTGCCATTCCAGGTTAGATTCTTGTACCTGCTGATGTGGGGGGAAGAGGAGGCAAATTAAAGCAGATGTTGACGTTTGAGAATGGCAGAAACACTAGGAAGGCCTTCAGTGCTTTTCCGTGGTTCAATTACTTCAAGACAGTGCATTTGAGGGCTGAAATAAACAGACCATTAAAGACGCCGGGCACCCTTTCCCAGGCCCCGCTAGCTCTCTAGACTTCCCCAGAGTGAACTTGCCATCTTCTATAAGATCAGGTCATCCCTCACAAGGAAGCCCTGGCGATTATTTCACCACCAAGCTCCCCATAATTTATTTTAAAAAGAAACAGGATCCAAGCTAAAATCAGCCTTTAAAAAAGAAGAGAGGCACGGAGCCGAGGATGTGCGAATCCAGGCGGCCTGGCTGTTTGTCTCAATTCCCCAGCTCGTGCCCCGGGGCGGCTGTCGCCTCAGCAGGGGTGGGAAGTGGATTATTGCAGCCGCTGCTGCTGAGAAGATGGATGGCCTCTAAGTGGGACCTCTTCTCCGAGCAGTGACCAGGCGTGATATCAAGCAAAATAATGGTCAGGACGAACATCACCAGGCCGCTAATGAGAAGCTGTTGACAGAAAAATTGCTCTAGCATTCATCAAAAAGCCAATAAATGCCAAGGAAGGGAGTGGAAAAGCCTCAGCTCATAAATTCCTTCTCGAGGGACTCTGGAGGGGAGCTGGGGACAGCTACCTCTGCTGCCTTCTCAGCGCCACTGAAGACGCCTCCAGAAGGCCTGTGATGTGAAGGGAGGCTTACCTGGGTGCTTTTCACTTACTTATTTTTGAGGGGAGATTATCAACAAGGCTGCCTCTGGTCAGAGGATTCTGTACTGGGCGCCAATGGTGGCTGGATCTCCATTTTAGCCTCACAGACCCAGTTTGAAAGCGTTACAGGGATGGTGTGCTCTGCTCACTAACAAGCCAAATGGAGTCTTCTGTGTTTCTGTCATTCTCATTGCCCACATGGCTCATGTATGGTATCAGGCCTTCTGGGGTGAAAAATGTTTTTTGTTTGTCTGGTTTTTTATTTATTTATTTATTTATTTATTTATTTATTTATTTATCTATCTATTTATTTATTTATTTATTTATTTGCTAAGAGAGGGGGATGTTTACTGATGGACAAGTATGATTTAACTTCTTGTTTGTCTAATTAAAAGGCCTAAACCTGGGCAGGGCAGGAAGAGGTAGGAGTGGCTAAGGTTGGAGGGCTTTGGGGACAGAAGGATCATGGAGAGAGAAACAGGAAGAAGAGGAGGAAGGAAGGAGAGAGCCATAGGGTTAGCGTGGATGCCGGATGGAAGAAACGGTACAGATGAGAGAATAAGCAAGTATTTATGGAGTTACGGATGGCATGAGATGGGGCTGAGAGGTAAGGGTTGTTTAGAGGGTTAATATCTGCCTTGCCCCAGATAAGGTAAGGCTAGTGTAAAATCTACCAGGATGTCTGTGTCTTTTATTGATTGTGATAGCAGGTCAGACATATCACCATAATAATTCTAGGGCTAATAATAAGCATTATTAGACCCTACCGGTTAATCATCCACGACACCTTAGACTCCGGCATCTGGGATTTACACAGGTGTGCTAGCGTGTCCAGCAGTGGTGGCACATTTTTAGGGAAGGACACAGTGCTGATGTACACACGCCCACATAACTGGGACCAGCACTCAGTCAGTATCCTGGGAGGCCATAGGGATGCTTGCCCCCAGATCTCAGTCAGAAAGCAGCATTCCGCTTGCTCTGCTAAGCACATCCCATATCTCGCCCTAGGCTGGGAGATGGCCTTGGCATATGTTGGGATGTCTACAGGACAGCAGCTGGGAACATATCCCTTGTAGTCATGCAGATTCAAAACGACATAGGCTTTTCCAAGGGCAATACCTTGACTTCTCTAAGCCTCATACATAGCATGAAGGAGAAGAATGAATTCTAGGGCTGTCTGGGATGGCATTAGGCTCTCCTGAAGTCTCTGGCCTTCTGTCATTTGGCCTGTTTCTGGTTTCTAGGGGCCAAGTCAGCCTTTAAACAGTGCCTCACTCAGGGCTAGCAGAAGTGAATGGCCATCCCACTGACCTGATGGGCACTGACTGCTAGGGTGTGGCCTACTGGGCTCAGCTCAGCTCAGCTCAGCTCCCTAGAGGCATATGAGGCCAAGGGAACGATGAATATAATAGGCTTTTCAAAAACAGTAATCATATGTAGTTATGAGGAAATTTTCATTCAACATCCTGGTAAAAGGAAACAGATACAAATAAACCCAGAACGATGTTAGCCTTGGGATAGATTATCTATGCCGGGGGCGTGTGGCACAGTTCTTGCTGGATTATTTTCTGCCCCAGTGACTACTGATTTTTATAGCTAGTCATCAATTGCACATCAGCTCACAGGCTGTGGAACCAGCCTAGAGGCCTGAGGAGCTCATGATTTGAGGGAGTAGTGTTTGCTCATTTGGAAATGGGGCGTTTCATTTCATTTGTCAAACGTGTGAGAAGGCTTTGTTAGCCCCTCTGAAGCCTGGATAGTGTCTGCCATCCTTTCTGACTCATCAGTATGTCCAGCACCCACCAGTAATTTTCTCTGTGGGGCCACTAAGGAGGAACCGACCGTGGGTGGTCCGTTTCTCTTAAGCTAACCACCATAACCAGTCCTTGTCTATCGCCTCCTAATAAAATCCCTGCCAGTGTCCTGCCAGTTAACACACCCAGTTCTCTTGTGAGCTGGCAAAGTCTGCTCTCTTGCTCGGACACAGTGTTGCAAAGCAGGACAAATGCCCTTGAGCCCACGCTGTTAGGACCAACGCACCAATGTTGGGAAAGGTAGGAATGTAGAGAAAGCGAGAAAGAGGGTAAGAGGGTAAGAGAGAGAGCGAGGGGGAGGGCTCCAGCTCTCTTATAGGGTGACCCAGGGCATGCGCAGGTAATTCCAGGTGGTCAGGGTGTCTTCACAAATGCCTGATAACCTGTTTGTCAGGTCCCTTGGGGCTGGCCGTAGAAGTGCCTGCTTACTGATCCCAACATAGGCTAGGCTCAGACCATCCCCAGGGACTGAAATTGAGGGGAGCACAGCTTGTGTCCCAGGCAATCACGGCAATTTCCTGCAGACACAGTTCTAAACTGTGTTCTGCCTCTGGTAACGAATCCAGTCTAGCATCAGGCAACTGAGCTCCCCAAGAGAGCAAGTGTGCACATTTAGAACTAAACATTTTCCTTTCTGGATTTTGGTCTAATGATCTGGAACATTTCCCATGGGGCAGGCAGTGCAGCCAGAGGATGGGAAACCGTGGCTTTAACAGGAAGACATTTTGAAATCCTCACGCTTCAGTTCCACTGTTTGTCCCTGGACAAAGGTGACTGATATCTCCTTGGCCTCAAAGACTCACTTGAGACGGGGATCTCTGGGTTACCTACTCCCCTGGGCCCCTCGAGGCCCCGTGAGAACAGGCTTGAGACTTGACACAGTGGCTCCAAGGGAGATGCCTTCTGCACTCTTACAGTGAACTCCTTTCTGCTGGCTAAAACCTGGAGAAGGAAACAATTGCCCATCCCAAGAGAAGCATGTAACAACAATGTCTCGGGCCATCCAGGCCATAAGGCACTTTGACCCCAGCAACCAGAGTGAAAACCACAGGTTAGACCCGTATGAGTCAGTCTCTGTCTGTCTCTCTCCTTTCCACCCTTCTCTCTCTTTCTCTCCCTCCCCAGCCCTTCCTCTCTTTCTGGTGTTAGGGATAGAACCCCAGACCTAATGCATTCTAGACTAGTTTTCACCACCAAGCTACATCTTTACCTTCTAATTTTTTGTTTTTGTTTTTTTGTTTTGAGACAGAGTCTTGCTAAGTTTTGCAGTCTGATCTTAAACATGTGATCCTCCTGCCTCAGATTACTGAGTAGGTGTGGTACAGGAGTGTGCCATCATGTCTTGTTCTCTTCTACTCTTAGGTGACAAAAACTGACAGAAAAATCAAGACTGGGGTGTAGCTCAGTGGCAGAGTACTTGCCTTCTATACAGGAGGCTGTGATTTCAATCCCTAGCACTGGAAAAGAGGAAAGAGGTGGGGGGAGGGAGAGGAGAGATAGAGGCAGAGACAAGAATGGATAGGTAGGCAGATAGATAGATATATATTGATTTATAGTCAAGACAGATAAAGAAAATTTGAACACTTCTTGGGCTGTATAGGACCAAATCCAAAAACAAAACAAAACAAAACAAAAACATGACTAGGTAGAAGCATTAGTCCAACTGGGGAATGGAGTGACTAGTGTCGCTCTGGGTTTTTCTCTAGAAATGTGTTCTGAGGAAGTCACCCTCAGTGGGTGGGCCCGTCTGGGTCCTCTCACTGTTCTGGTCTGCTTTTACCCTCCAGTTTAGTAGTAACTGGAGGGCCAGGGCACCCACGAGAAGAGAAGTGGGCCCTTGCTATCTGCCCGTCAGGATGGACATACCGAGAGAATGTTCACCCTTTTCTTTTCTTTTCTTAGCTCGTGGTGGGTTAGAAATGAAACAACCCAGCTCTATAAATATTTAATTTATTCAAATCACATAAGATTGTTTCAAAGCCACCAGCACGACTATTTCCTGGTAGAATCAAGATGATTTTTCAGTGTGGAGATGATCTCATGGAAACTTGAAATGTCCAACTTGTCACGAGCAACCAGAATGGACTCTGCCTTCAGGAGACTCCAGAAGGGTGGGGTTGGTAGCTTTCCTTCACGCCTCTCTGAACTGTCACCTGTGTATGAGCAGCCCCTCACTTCAGGTGCTGCAAGCCCTTCGGAACCCCAGCTTTCTGTCATGGCCCCAGTGCACATTAACCTGGCCACTGACCCAGCGCTTCATCACTCCCCTGAATCCATTCCCTACAGAATCATGGATTGTAATATAGATCACACACTGGGAAATCAATATCTCTGTTCTCTTAGAACGGAGAGGAAGCAGTACGATGGGGTGGAAAAACCGAGGGCTGGGGGACTTCCTAGCTAGCCATTGGCTAGGAACTCCTCGTGCTGGCTCAATGTGTCCAGACAGGCTTTCTCTTCTGGATGAAGGCCTCGATTCCTTCCTGCCCATCCTGCAGGCCCAGGTTGTCCACCATGGCCTGGGAGGCAAGGTAGTATGCTGTTCTAAGGTCTTGCGGCAGCTGTTTGTAAAAGGTAGCCTTGCCCAGCGTGACCACGGAGCGGCTCAAGGAGGCAATCTTCTTCGCTATTCGCATGGTCTCTTCCTGCAGCTGCTCCTCTGGCACCACTTTGCTGATGAGGCCGTGGCGCAAGGCCTCCTGAGCAGAAATGGGCTCCCCAGTAAACAGCATCTCCAGGGCCACCTGGGGAGAGGGTGGGTGGGGTCGGTAAAGCTTCATATCCACAGCGTCCTCAGCCCCCACCTCTGTTTCCTTGTACTGGGAGAGTCCCTCTCTGATGTACCTACGGCCTCAGCCCAGGTATCTGCTTCCGCAAATAACAGGGTATCTATCACCCTTGATGTTGTCACTATCCCTAACTCCCTACCAGAAAGAAGACGAGATCGTTCCAAGAGCCATGAAAAGACAAGTAGCCTGGAACGGGTGAAGTCTCCTCCTGGGGCCTGGCTCCACGGATTTGATCTAGGGCCTGGCAGTCCAGGAGATTCCATCCAGCCCTTCAAAGGCCACACACAGAAAGGAGGCCCATCTGCTGGGAATCGCTGTGGCTGCTGTGGAACTTGCTACTGTAACTCGGTGCAGCAGCCACTTTCCGTAAGAACACATGTCCATGGGGGCCATTTCCCCAGCAGAACCCCACAGAGGGCCTTCCGTTCTGGGGACATGTGTGTTCCATTCATTATCCCCTGCGCTAGAAGATTGCCTTGCATTATGCAAAAAACCTCCCATATTTATGAATGAATGAAGGAACGGATGAAGGAGAGCCTAGAAAGGCAAGCAGAGTATAAAGCATGGCTTGGCTGCTGTAAATCTAGGTTGAAAGCTGCCACGGTTTCCATCAGTCTTCAATATGCACCTGTGTCTACAATCCTGGATTCTCTCCCTTCAGCCCAGAAGACCAAGAGAGTATTAACGGGACCAACCCTGCACACTCAAGGAAGGCTTGCCCAGACCAAGGTCAAAGGCCACAGGACATGGATGGCTTCAAGCCCTGCCTTTGGGTTCCTTGGTCATTCTGCCAAGGTCATGGTCCTCCCAAGGCCTGGGTTTCCTTCCTGCCTCACGGAGCTGGATGCTTTTTCAGCACGTTGGTGTACGTACCTTTCGTTCAAGAGGGTGGCGGGTGACAGTCACTAGGGGAAAGGCAGGGTGTTTTCCTGGCTAATTAGCACAACCTTAGCTTAGTACCCAAGCTTCCACGCTGTGTGTTCACAAACGCTTCAGACGAACAAGAAGAAAGACAGCCCCCCCCCTTCCCTAATCGCCTCACTGCCAGTCAGGGTGGCACCTCTCTGTCACCCTAAGAAGCTACGACAGCAGTTCTTTATTCCAGGGACTTTTGCGTTAAAAATAAGAATCTGAGGCATGGCTTAACCTGGACGCCAGATGATCTTATAGAAAGGAGAGTTTTAGAGTCAGACACACCTGAGCATTTGGAACTGTGAGGGTCAAAGAAAGCAGCCCTCCAGGGCCTGCTGTGTCGTCTGCACACGGGAATGGGTGCCGGATTCTCCACGCTCTGTGCTTATTACAGAGCAGTAAGTGGAGTGGCCAATGGTAGCAGCCGCGCTCTGACTGGAGGTTTCCGTGGCTCTGATCCTGGCTTCTGGGTTTCACAGCGCCGCAGCAGGTTAGTGAAGAGTGTGTGTGTGTGTGTGTGTGTGTGTGTGTGTGTGTGTGTGTGTGACACATCTGTGGGGACTGTGTGCCACAGCATTCCGGGGCTCTCTGCTTATCTTTTGGGTGAGCTCCATGACTTTGGTCTATCCAGGCTGCAAGAACAAAATGCCATACACTGCGTGGCTGAGAAGGAGCAGGGGCGAAGCACGATCTGGAGGTTGGAGAGTCCAAGTTCAAGGCTTCGGCAGTGTTCACTGAGAAACCTGCTCCAGGTTCAAAGACTGAACTATCACTGTGTCCTCATGTCAGGAGAAAGGGGTTAAGCCAGCCACCTGGCACGCCTGTCTTACAGGCGCTAATCCCGTCATGAGGGTGCTACCCTTGACCCAATAATCACACCCCTAAGGCCCCACCTCCAACAGCTGTCACCTTGACGACTGCACTTCAGCTTAGGAACAAATCACTGCTAAATAGTATGTGTCATGTCTAACCTGGGTCGTAGGAGGCAGGGGAGCTCTGGCCTGAGTGAGGATCTAAACCTCTAGCTTCTAAGTTAGCCTGAGTTAGCCTGGCAGGGTGTGCAAGCACACAGTCAAGTGGAAACAAGGCTTCCTACTGCTGAGAAGGCGCAGGTGTTGGGAAAGGGACGCTACCTGAGGTGCTGGCTCTGCGTTGGGTGGAGTCAGCCCTGGCTGGGGACGGGAACATTTGGAGCAGGCAGGGAATTTCCATGGCTTAATGAGGATGCATAATTGAGTTCACTTCAAGAAAAGAAAGACTTTAACAATAAGGTGAAGGATTCATGTCCTGGCACAGTCCTATGCCTTTTGCCCAGTAGACAAACTGCAATCTTGTCTTCCCAGCACAGCGGAGCAGTTTCCTAGAGTGTCCAGCAGAGGGAACTAGAGTCCAACACATGCTATCCTAATCTTCGTGGAAAGGCCAGACTTGCAGTTTGCAAAAACACCTGCTGGCTTCTCTGTGACAAACAGCGGGACCCATGGTGACAGTCACCTATCACCAGCACATACGTGGACATGCGTGCACACACATTTGAGTGTGTGTGTGTGTGTGTGTGTGTGTGTGTGTGTGTGTGTGTGTGTG